GAGTTTTAATATTGTTCATTATATGTGATACTAAGTTTGAATTTTAATAGGAATTCTTTCTATGTGGTACTAAGTTACTCATACATTTTATCTTTGTTTTTTCGGTTAAGCTCATATATTTTATCATATGTATCAAGTGTAATATATTGAAGTACATTATTATAACTAAAAAATTATGGTGTGTTTAATTTTCTTTCATTAATTACTACATATTTTATAAAGTCACAGTGTTTGTCAGATCGCTACATAATCAACTTAAATCACTCAAACCCACCATGCCATGCATTTTCTTCCAATTTTTTGTGATAAAATAATAGATAATTGACTAAGTAAACATCCTCTAAAGTTTCAATAAAAATTTCCAAGTTTTTCTCATAATTTCCGTGATTTTTATTCAATTTTTATCGATATCGATATTTTCTCGATATTTCCATCGATATATCCGTGTTTTTGGACCACCGATATTTTCGAAACTCCCGATGTTTTAGACCTTGGTTTGTATGCATGATCATATCTGATTAGCCAAAATTTCAAAGTTGAGTCTCACTCGTTTAAATAAGTTTGGTGAATTGAAATCAAATTATTTGTATTTGATATTAAGTTGATGCTTTTTCACTTATGTTTCGACTGAATTTTATGGTCATTGGTGGACCCATAGAGATGTAAAGAGGTGTACTTGCATTTCCTCTTGCCGGAAAATACTTTTGAGGTTGCAGTATTTGCCCCTCTGATCTGCCATGAAAGTACCCACTAAATGCTAGCTGAAATGCCTATGTGAAACTCCTTACCTCCACCGTAGAACCTACTGTCATTAAATACAAAGCGGAGTCCAAATTGCAATATGAATTGAATTAAAGAAGCCTCCTTGAGCCGAGACTCTTGCAGCAGCCAGCAGTCCCAAATTCCAATCACAAGGTTTATTTTTTTATAATTATCTCTTTTTGTTAATTGATAAAAAAATTTGTTAGGGCTTGCAGCAGCCTCCTTGCGTTGAGGCTCTTGCAGCAGCCAGCGTTGAGGCAATTTATAAATAAACCCAATTTTAGACATGTATTTATAAAAAAACTCAAGCACTATTTAAATATAGAAACACACCCAAAATCAACCCCAAAGTCAACTTTTTGGGTGTGTTTATAAATAGGTTTTGAATGGAGTTTGAGTGTGTTTATAAAGTGTTTTAGGTGTTGGATTTTTTTATAATTTCAACCTCCATTTTGGGTGTTTTAGTGAAACTCCCTTGTTATCCCAAATTCCACCGCAGATTAATTGATAATATTTTTTGTTAAATTAATTGATGATGTTATATGCATTTTATTCATATTAATTGATATAATATATAGACTATATGTTTTAATATTATACCATTATAGTTAAAAAAAAATATTTAAATCCTCATTCGAATATAGCCTCTTTTTTTAAAAAATTCTAAATCCGTCATTGCCTACGGCCTTGATAATAATTTCACAAATACGGGGTTAATTATGGGTTAAGAGCAAAGCTAACCATCGTTCCGGTTCTCTTATACCTTGTCACCCACAAGGATTATATAGCATAGAAAGACCAAAACCACCTCCCTATATGACGTGGCGCATTTATTTTAGCTGAAATTTGACGATTGCAACGTAAAACATGTAAGCGTAAAATACCAGATCTTTCTGATATAGCAAGTGGCATTGTCAGTCAGAGACTTAAGTAGTCACGCGCCATTAGGCGGCGTGAAAGCACGGAACGAGCCCAACGGGCTCTAGTACGTGTAAAAATCTCGCTCCAAATCAAAGTCTCGGAGTAAGTGAGAGAAAGTGGCTGGCTTTTAATCTCGTCTCTCTAATTTTCCCTGAGAAATAAAAAAATAAATAAAAGAAAGAAAGGCCATGGTTTTGTCATATGATCACTAACTAAGCATCTAGTGTGGCTCTTTCTTTTCTTGCTTGGTTAATTTAATCATGCTTGCTCCCATGTAATTCTGAAGGACAATGTTTGTCCCTGTTTGGTTGCTGGGAAAATTGGCTGAATTTTCTATTTCGAGTTAGAAACTTGCAAGCTATCTCCAATGGCAGAAGAAGCTCAGAAGGAGACGTCGAATGCGAGAAGGCCTCACTTCTTTGCGTTTTATTCTGCTGATTTGAGCTCAGAAAGACTGGTACTTTTTTCCTCCTTACTCTTCTTTTTTCCATTATTCTATGTGTAACTATGGGTCATTTTGTTTTTATGTTCCTTTGGGAATTAGGGTTCTTGCATAAATTTGCTAATTAATTTTTCAATAGTGAGGCTTTGGATTTCCGGTGTACATTTAAAAACAGTGAAATTTCTTATTGGATGTTGGTCTTAGTATCTTCCACAGAAATTATGCATTCTTTATCACACATGAATGTTACTCTGTTACTGCTCAAAGAGAGACTTCAATGGCATATCATGGAAAGTGTTATTAATTTATCTTTCTAGCTTCAGTCTACCTAAGTTAAAGTATTGGTTGGCTAAGCTCAATGTCTGTTGCATTTTTTGGATGGTGACACAATTGCGATATTATGTTGCAGAAAATACCAGAAAGATTTATGATACACATGGAAGGTAGAACATCTGGGTTAGTTTCTTTGTTTGGTCCTAGCGGGAATGCATGGAATGTTGACTTGATTCAAAAAAATGGGGACTTGTTCTTTCATCATGGGTGGCCAGCATTTGTGAGAGATCATTTTGTGGAATGTGGTGACTTCTTGATTTTCAGATATGATGGTGAGTTGTGTTTCACTGTGCTTATTTTTGATCAAAGTGCGTGTGAGAAAGAAGCCGCATTTCATTCTGAATGTGGCCAAGACTCTAGCAACTTTGAAAAATATATGGGACGGAAAAGGGGCAGGGAGGAGGCTGCATCATCTGGCAAACTGGTTGATGGTGTGGCAAAGAAAATGAGAGATTCCAGCAGTGAGGAAGGATGTGGACATGAGGGTGTAATGTGTGAAGAAGCAACTTGTTCCAAGGAAATTAAGCGAGCTGAAAAGCCTGGTGAGGAAACCAACTGATCTATTGGTTCTTTCCAGTGTTCCCATTGAAAGGCAACTTCTAGTCACCAGAAAAAAATAATCCATGAAATACTGAGTTTATCTATGTCTGTGCAAACAAGATTGAATACATACAGATGCAATTATTGATTTATTCTTTGTTGCAGGTTTGGATATTGTTCTTTGTAAAGCTAATGCATCCATCCAAAATACGTGCGGAAAAGGAGATGGATTAAATGTGAATGGTAGAGTTTGTGTGCAGATGTCGTCGGCGCATGAAATAGCTCAATCATTTAGCTCCTCTAACCCTTATTTTGTGAGAATCATGAAAAGTTTCAACATCAGTGGTTCATATACTCTGGTGGGTTCTTCCCTCTGGTTTTGTTCTTTTTTCTTTTTGTACTGTAATGCTTTATTTATTTATGTTAGGCATAGGTTTTGCATCAGTGAACTTTGTTGAGAAGCCAGTATATTGATACTTAGTGTTAAATATGTAGTATTCTCTTGCTTGAGTTATCTGCATATGCATCCAGAAAAGTGATCTACTGTTTCCATCATGGTTTGTCCACAATTCAAAACCATGTATCATCTTGCTTTTCATCACAAATAAAATTATAAGTAGAAAAACAGATTGTTTTGTGGGCTGCTATCATCTTCAATGTTGCTGCTTCCCTGTGGAATTACTTAAAAGGGTTTCCTCGTAAATCTTGAACCATAAAGCTCCAGATATGTGACTATGATTCCTCAGTTCTTTGTTCATATTTGGGGTTTGGACAATGTTCACAGTACTCAACTTTTTCTCCTTCACACAGAAGTGTATATGGTATTTTCGGGATAGATGTTTCATAGTGTTGTGTTCTTCTCATTTTCTTGACATGAACTTACTGTCCCGAACTTGTTGCTCTCTTCCACAATTTCACTAGTTAAATTAGTAAAACATACACTTATACATATATGCTCATAGATATGAAACTGTGGGTGTGTTCGTGAATGCGATTGTTGGCCTGGGTGAGCGCAAATTTTCTTTTACAAACTGCTTTATGGTTTGCAGAACATCCCATGTAAATTTTCGGTGGCACATCTACCCAACTGCAAAGTAAAGCTTGTCCTTCATAATTGGAAAGGAGAAAGTTGGACCGTCAATTCTGTGCCAAGTACGAGAGTGCATACAAGTCATACTCTCTGTGGAGGATGGATGGCTTTTGTCCGTTACAATGACATAAAGCTTGGAGATATCTGCATTTTTGAACTTGTGCATGAGTGTGAATTCCGTGTCCACGTTCAAAGTGGAGAAACATCTAGTTGGTTAAGTGCTGAGCTGGCTCTCCCTTCAATTAAAACGTTCAAAAGTTTGTCAAAGATAATGACGGGGAACTCTCCTAAAGTCCATTCAAAGAGCATAAGAAAGATAGAGAAAGCTGATAAAATAGCACCAAAGAAGTTTCAAGAAGCTGCTTTCACTAATGACGCAAGGAAATATGGTAGCACATCAAAGTCTCTTACTAAAGTTTCACTCTCTCAGTCAAAAGCTGCCAATAAAAAGTTGGGTAAGGTTTCACCTAAATCCTCTTAGCAATTTCTTGCGAAGACGGGGTCATGAGTGCCATCCATGTTGAAATGAGCTTGAAGGTCATCTAGATTTGCATGCTATACTTTTATCTATAAATTCGGGCTCTTGTATTTAGATTTTCCATACGTTTAAGAAACTCATGATGATTATATTATTTAAATTGGGTTTTTAACCATAAAATGGACAGTCAATCACAGGAAAAAAATTGTTGAAGATGAACTAAACCCTGGAAGCAGTTTGAGAATGAGGTTAACACTTGATGAAGAAAGAGCGGCTCGATCGTTCACTTCTTGTTTCCCGAGTTTTGTGAAAATCATGAAGAAGTTCAACATCTGCGGTTCATATACATTGGTGAGTCTTGTAGATATGTGTTACTGTGTGTTACTGTGAATAAACATGTTCATATTAATCTTCTGAAGATTGTTTCTGGCACTGGTTTGTATTTATAACTTGGTTATTGTTGTGCAGAAAATCCCATACCAGTTTTCCACAGAACACCTCCCCAACTATAAAACAGAGATTGTTCTTCGAAATTCAAAAGGGGAATGTTGGACTGTGAATTCTGTCCCAGACTCAAAAGGGCGAGTGGTGCATACATTTTGTGGAGGATGGATGGCATTTGTACGCGGAAATGATGTCAACATCGGAGATATTTGCATTTTTGAGCTTGTTGGTAAGCGTGAAATGCAAGTGCACATTTCTGGTATTGGTAAAAAGGGGTTTGACCATCAGGATGGAGAAGCAACATCTAATGCAGTGTAGCTGTTGTGTAATCTACCGGCAATGTACCTTCACTGTGACACTTGATCAAGCTCAACTATCCCTCTGAATACATGTTTTGTGCTGAGCTATGCCAATTGCCATTTTGTGATTCTCTAATCTTATCCTGCATATAATGTTGACTGCTAACTAAACTCTCTTTATGTTGGTGTTATCTACAAGTGCATTTGTCACATCTAGTATTTGCATCTGTTGCTTACAAAATCCCCTTTATTCTGTAAGTGGTGGGCCTCTCCTTTTTTTATTTTTTATTATTTATTTATTTTTTATATGTTAGAGCACTTCCACCTGAGCAGGCCAGCACGGGAAGAAGGCCCCCCAGCCCCCAAAAAACGAAGTCCAATGGTGAAGGCTAGCCCGGGCAAGAAGCGGGCTCCATCAACCTGGGCAAGTCCAAAGACAAGACTTGTCTGGGCTGTTGCCTAGGTTTGGCGATCAATTTAAATATCCAAAAATATTATAAAAGATACCGAAAAATTCAGAATTTCTTATATAAAAATACTTAGTCATTTTCTTCACTTTTCACATCAAAACTCCATACAAATTCCTTTCATCATATCTCATGTGAAAGTGTTTGCCTTTACTTAATGAGTGGAAATGCAAAATAAAAAGGGGTAAGGCAGTCACTATTTATGTGCATAGTGTCTGTCCTTGTTTGCCGTTGCCATTTGTCATGACACTATGGGAGGAAGTGCAATTATTATTTTTAACTCTCTTTGTTTTTTGTTTTGCTGCATTAAAGATAAAAGTTTGCGCATATTTTCTGGGTCATGACTCGTGGGTATCTTTTCTTCTTGTAATATTATCGGAGGGAGAATTTTGGACCGATAATGGGATTTTGCTCTTTTCTTTATGGCCTATTATCTCAATGCAATTGACATGCAGAATAGTGGGATTTTTTATTTTTACTTTAGATAACCGTGGATATTAGTTGTATTGTTTGTTGATTAAAACGCGAATCAGTGGTCCTGATTAGTCCTTAATTACTTTTAAGCATAATCAACTTCTTAAAAAGTTTACAACAAATGGTTTCTTCTTTTAATAGCACCCTTCATTAAAAAAGCAGACGAAGTTCCTCCTCATCTCTTTCATTCACCACCACCGCCTCCATGTCAGCCCAAATCATGTCATCCATCTCCAGTACCACAACCATTCTCCTTATATTTTGTGCATCTCATTGTCGTTCCTTGCCTTAGTACTTTTCTTATCTAATTTTCATTTAATTCTTAGAGTTGTGGCCAAATATAAAGAAAAAGTTTTTATATTGATTAAAAAAACTCAATTATTCAAAGCCAAAATTCTCTCTCAAGCTTGGCCAATATTGCATCCATTCAAGATATTCACCATGAGCGGCAAACAATAACCCAACAAGTGCTAGTGTGCATGTGGATTTTGGTGTGGTCTTTAATATTGTTAAACCCTAAATGAAATTTCCAAGCTTTCACTTGTGGGTTTTTCTGATTGATCAATTTTTGGTCTTTGTAGTGCTCGAGTGATGTTTCTTTGGGTCAAATCTTTTTTTCAATTTCTTCTAAAACACTTTCTCTATGTGGGTTTGAGGGTTTTCTTGAAGAAAATAGACATGGTGAGGTGGCAGGTCTGATGAATAGGCTTGGTGGTGGAGATTAGATATAAATAATGTGTCCCATCATCCTATGGAGGCATAAACAAACCTATGGCAGATCTGATGAACTTGGGGTTTGGAGGAGAAAGAATAAAGACAAGGCTCCCTTTTTGCTGAACGAAATAGATGAGGAGAGGAAATGGGTTTTTTTTTTGTTTTTTTTGTTTTAAATAATAAATAAATTTTATTATGTTGAAATAAACAGTGTTAAGTTTTTGTTAAGTCATGGAACATGTGTCAAAAATATAAGGAGGAAACAAGGAGGCACATGGGATTTGGTAACATGAAAATTGGACTCGTAACATAAAGGACTAATAATGTTAGAAAAAACATAACGGACCAAAGGTGATAATTTGGCAAACATCAAGGACCATCTGTGATAAAAACCCTAAAAAATAATCTTTACGTATCAATGATCTAAAAAGTTGAAAGCATACTATCTCTGAATGGAGTAAGGTTCCATGTGGTGGTAATATAGCTGGGGTGAAAATACATATTGTCTTGGCTTGGAAGTTTTCTAATACTAGAGTGGTTAAACTGAATATGGATGGTTCTTGCAAACTTGCCTATGACAATATTTGTGCTGGTGGTATTCTTTGTGGTTGTGCTGGAGAATGGATTAAGGGGTTTGAGGTGAACTTGGGAAATGGCCAAATAATTGAAGCTGAACTATGAGGCTTATTTTTTGGTCTTAAAATGGCTTTGGATAAAGGTATTAATAAGCTCATCATTGAAATAGACTCAACTCTTGGTGTACAACTTATCCAACAAACTGATGTCTCTCGATTTCACCCACTTGTTGGTTTGCTGCACTTTTCTAAGGCAATTTGAGAATTATCAGTTACATCATATATATATATATATAAGGAAAAAAATTGCCTTGCTGACTGCCTTTGTTCACCCGTTTTGTGATTACTCATGTGGTGGAAAGGCAAAGTTCCCCACTGCCTTGAAAATCATTGACTGGTCAACAAGTCAGATTTCTTTGGTGTATGAGCATGCCACTGCTAGCAATGAAGATTCTAGATGACTTATTTTAGAATAGATAACTTGCGCCCCAAGTTACTGATTTCCATAAACAAGCGATTGTGAATTTGGGGGAGGAATATCTTCCAAGTAAGTTCTTTTCTTGCCTTAGACTGGTGAGGACTTTAACAATTTATCTCAGTATAAAGAGGTTGTTCTAGCCAGAATGGTTGATGGAATTTAAGCTGTCTTAGGCAGAATTGCCTTTTACAAAACTATAAACATAAATATCTAAGCTAGAAAGATGAAAGGACAATTGGAACTCCATTTTTGCCTGGATATGAGGTTCTGATCCGGTTGGACTGGACTGTTAACAACTTCAGCTGCTAAGCTTCAGCTGTAGATCGATACCAAAGGTTAATTTTGGCAGAGCTTTAATACACTTCAAGCTTTTGTGAGGCTTCTGAGTGGGCAGAACTGCGACTTCTTCAGTCTGTAAGGGCAGAAGTGGCTGTTCTCGAGGACTTCAGTGGGTTAGAGACTGCACTGTAAAATTTGTTGAGGTTTTCATGTTTGGGAAAAGCTAAAGCTCTACCTGTCTTGGTTTTTTGCT